TTTTTCTAACCTCTCCTCCTCTTCCTCTCCGCTCTGCCGGGTGGTGCGCAGACATCGTGGGCACGCTGCGGCCGGATGAGAAGGCCATTATGACCTATGTGTCCTGCTTCTATCACGCCTTCTCTGGCGCCCAGAAGGTGAGCAGCTCGCCACTAACCCCCCCCCCCCCACCCACAGACACAGCAGCCCAAAGCCGCTCACTGCTTCAGCTCCGGGGTTTCTGGGGCTCTTCCACGCCACTCTGAAAACAAAACAACTTTCTGACTACGGTCCCGTTTGAGAACATCAGCCGAGTTTCCCACTGTCCGGTCCGGATCGAAGCTCCCATTTCTCTGGGCTGAGATCATGTAAACAACCCTCCGGTTTGGGTCTATGAGCGTGGGAAGCGCCGGCTGATGTTTCTCCTCTTTCTATTCAGCCTTTAACCATTTTCAGACATCTTTTGCATTGTGTTCATCCTGTAGAATCCTCAGAATCCATCCTTATTGGATTTGAGACATTTGTTTAATGTTTACTAAGAATAGAAAAGTCAGAATCCATCCTTATTGGAATGTAGACATAATTTGTTTATTATAACAATGGAATACTCAGAATCCATCGTTTTTGGATTTTAGTCATCATTTGTTTATTATCAGAATAGAGTACTCAGAATCCATCATTTTTGGATTTTAGACATCATTTGTTTAATGTTTATTGTCAGAATAGAATAGCCAGAATCCATTGTTTTTGGATCTGAAGCGCCTGTTAAAGTTGTTGCTGTATGTGTATGTTTTGTTCCAGTGGTACAGTAGTGTAATAGGCAGACGCTCTGAGGCGGACGGTGGCGCGACGCCAGCCTGTAACTAGACGCCGCGCATGGCCCTTTAAGGCGGCCCGGTGTTGGCCCGGTGTTGGCACGTTGAACTAACCAACGGCGTGTTTGTGTGCCGTCCCCCCCCCCCCACAAAACCGCTCCCTGCCTGCCTGCGTGTGTCCGAGCACCAGACTGAGACAAGCTAGCGCACTCACAGGGACAGATACTAATCACAGGCAGCCCGGCTAGTTTTTGGGAGGGAGCTTTTAGAGCTAAAGCGAGCCGAGCCGAGGGACGGCGGCTCACCGCACTTTTCCCGGCAGGCCGAGACCGCCGCCAACCGCATCTGCAAGGTCCTGGCGGTCAACCAGGAGAACGAGCAGATGATGGAGGACTACGAGAAGCTGGCGAGCGATGTGAGTGTGCAGCCCGCCGGCAGCCTCCCTGCTCTCCACCCCCCCTCACGCTACCCCCCCCCTCCTCACCCCCTGGCCTGGTCCTCTCTGTGCCTCCAGCTGCTGGAGTGGATCCGCCGGACCATCCCCTGGCTGGAGAACCGGACCCAGGAGAAGACGGTCAACGACATGCAGGCCAAGCAGGAGGACTTCAGGGACTACCGCACAGTGCACAAACCCCCCAAGGTGCACACAGCCCCCCCCCTCTCAGGGTCCTCGGCGTCCTCTGCCCAGAGCCGCCGCTAACAGCCGGAGTCCCTGTCTGTCCTCAGGTCCAGGAGAAGTGCCAGCTGGAGATCAGCTTCAACACCCTGCAGACCAAGCTGAGGCTCAGCAACAGGCCGGCCTTCATGCCCTCAGAGGGACGCATGGTGTCTGTAAGCATGCCGCCCGCGGCCCCTCACGCAGCCGAGACCCGGCTCTGGGGCCCCAGAGCTCCACAACAGCCCCCTAACCAGGGATTTAACCATGCATTTAACCACGGACGCTCTGTGTGGCTCCAGAGCTCCATGACAGGCATTTAAGCATGGATTTAAGCATTGATTTTCTGTTTGGGTGTTTCTTAAATCCATAATCAGACAGGGTCTTTGTGGGGCCTCTCCGGGTCTTTTGCAAAGCGTTGCCTCTCTAACTCTCTTCTGGGCGTCAGGACATCAACGGGGCGTGGCACACCCTGGAGGGGGCGGAGAAGGGCTACGAGGAGTGGATCCTGAGCGAGATCAGACGTCTGGAGAGGCTGGAGCATCTGGCTGAGAAGTTCCACCAGAAGGCCGCCATCCACGAGTCCTGGACTGACGGTGGGTTTGGGTTTGTGCTGGTATTGGCCTTTAAGGGCTGCCGTAGTTCAGGCTGCTGAGAGCTTCCAGTGTTTGCTGACATGATCATTCATGAGTAGGAAAATGTATCTGTGCCCCCTCAAGACCAAATGTGCCTCCCAAGAACAATTTAACTTGAAATTGAAAATTTTTTGAATGTGTTAAAATAGACTTTAGGCAATGCCGTAGATGTTTTGAGTTAAGGGTGGAAAAAAAGAGGTAAATCTAGATGACTTTAGGACTGAATGTGAAAAAATTGCTGAGAGAATGTGATCAGTTCATTTAATCAGAAAATCCACTAAAAACCATCTCAAATGCCCAGCTGTTGGGATAAAAACCTGAAAATACTTAACGGATTTGACCGAATCGCTGTGAAAGTGCACATCCTCGCCCTCCTGTTTTCTCACAACAGGAGGTTTGTTGTCAGAAAAGGTCTGCTTGGACCTCATTAAAGTGTCCAGGCAGTAAACTCTTATTTCCTTTTCCTCTTTTCTCTTTATTAAGACGTCAGGAGGTCCAACATTTGGGGAAACAAAGGTTTTTTGGGGCCTTTCTCAGTGATGTAGGAGGTGAAAAACCTTCAAATAGAAACAAATGCAAAAAGCGGCTTTAAACAATATTCCAACATGAGAAGTGAAACTCCAGATTCAAGTATACGAAGTGTAAATCGGCCCAAAAATATAATGCATCTCTGTAGAAAAGCCCAACATAGACCATCTTTTACTGAAGTATCGGATCAGTGGAAGGAGGACCTTTAACCGGAAAGGGTCTTTAATTCTGATTGGATCCTGAGGCAGCACCAGGAGCCGCTGAGCTTCCTCCTCTCAAACGCAGCTCAGACCCTGAGCCTCTCTCCGTGTGCGTCCGTGTGCAGGGAAGGAGGCCATGCTGACCCAGAAGGACTACGAGACCTCCACCCTGTCGGAGGTGAAGGCGCTGCTGCGGAAGCACGAGGCCTTCGAGAGCGACCTGGCCGCCCACCAGGACCGCGTGGAGCAGATCGCCGCCATCGCGCAGGAGCTCAAGTAAGCAAGGCCCCGCCCACCCGCCGGCCCACCCGGGCCGAGCCGGCGCCGTCCTCACCCCCCCCCCCCCCCCACCTGTCTTCCGTCCCCAGCGAGCTGGACTACTACGACTCGGCCAGCGTCAACGCCCGCTGTCAGAAGATCTGCGACCAGTGGGACGTCCTGGGGGCGCTCACCCACAGCCGCAAGGACTCCCTGGAGGTACGCCCCCCCCAGGCCACCAGCCCCCCCCAGTCTCTGTGGAAACTGCCCAGAATGCCTTCTGCCTCTGATCAACATACGCAGCTCCGTTTTGGAAGATTTCTTTATTTAAAAAAAAAAAATTGTCAGAAAAACACAATACAATAAGTCCAGTCACAGAAATACAGTTTACCTTCTCCTTTTTTCCCTTTTTTTTAAACATATATGCATATGTACACGGTCACATATACACATAGAAACAAGAACCGAAATAGAGAGAGAACAAACAAAAAAAAGAAACACTGAAAAGAATGTAGGAAAATGAAATGAGTTGATGTGACAGAGTGGTTTTTGCAAATTCAATGAGCTGAAGCCCTCTCGTTTTGGTTTTTGCTGCTCACAGAGGACGGAGAAGCAGCTGGAGTCCATAGACGAGCTCTACCTGGAGTACGCCAAGAGGGCGGCGCCCTTCAATAACTGGATGGAGGGAGCCATGGAGGACTTGCAGGACATGTTCATCGTTCACAATATCGAGGAGATCCAGGTAAGCCGCTGGTCTCTGAGCACTTTATTCAGCATTTTTAGGCACTTCCTTTAGTTTGTTTTTAAAAGGAATCCCAGCGGATTCTGACTTCCTTAAATTACCCTGAAATGTGTGAACAATGCAGAAACCTGCACAATAGTTCCAAACCACAAAGAAATTATCTTAAAAACAGCTAAAACTTTCCTTTTTGGTCTTCCTGGTTTCAGTCTTTATTCTTTTTTATTTCTCCACAAGATGGCGCCACCTAGTTTTAAATCTTCAGAGCAGGAAGAAAAATGCAACATTTGACTGTTTTCTGCTGTAAACACGCAGGAAAATCAGGAGTTTCTCCTGATTATCAACACCTATAATATTTTAGATAATAAAATACTGATTGAGGTCTTTGAATATTAACATTTAAAGCTTGTTTTGGGAAGCAGACTTTTCTCGGTTGTGATTAAATGCGTGCTGGAACATTGCTGAGTTTTAAACAGCAACTTTTAGACATCAACTCACAGAAAAGGAGAAGCTTTAAGTGTCCAGAAACATTTAAAGAAACCAGACGCCCGTTCGGTCCGATCTAGAACACAAGGACTGAGATGAGAACCAAACCCATTTTTCCCCCCTTCAGGGTCTGATCACCGCCCACGAGCAGTTCAAGTCCACCCTGTCCG